AAAAAAAAAAAAAAAAAAAAACAAGCATGGGGAAAAAATTGGATGCTTTTCTTAGAAGAGGCTTTAGGACCTCAAAATTCAAATCCACGGTGGCTATGGCCCTTTCACGGCTGGCCGTCCTCCGAAACCACCGCCACGCCCGCTGCTCGATTGCCCGATCCGACGTCATCGAGCTTCTCAAGAACAACAACACCCATGAAAGAGCCCTTCTTAGGGTATTTTTTTTTTTTTTTNTTTTTTCATAGTACATTCATTGCCTGTAAACTAGTCGAGCCAATTTCGAGCTCACAAGCTCGAGCCTTTATTTGAGCTGAGAGATATTTGAACTGAGCTTGTTAACTAAACCAGCTTGAGCTCGGTTAGTTTATGAATATTAACGAGCTGAGCAGAAGTCGAGCCTCAACTAGCCGAGCTCGGCTCGTTTATCAAATAACTGTTTTATAGGTCCGATTCGATTGCCGTAAGTCATTTAGTTAATTATGTTTCATTATGAACTTTTGTTTTTACTTTACACTTCTTTTCTATATTATATTATACTCACAAGCTCGAGACTTTATTCGAGTTGAGAGATACTCAGAGCTCGGGCCTTTATCGAGTCAAGCTCATTAACTAAACCCTCTTGAGAATGGCTAGTTTATTAACTCGAGTTTCAATTAGTCGAGTTATAGAAAATTACATAAAAATTTCTATTTTTAGCTCAAGCTCAGCTCGTTTATCGAATAACTTGTGTTTTATTAGCCCGATTCGATTGCGACAAGTTATCCGGTTAATTTTGTTTCATTTTATAAATTGAAAGTATTTCTTTAAGGAGCAAATTTGAATATTTGTAGTAGAACATGATTTTAAATATTAATTAAATGATTAATTTTATTTATAAATTGAATATATATCCTCTGTTTTAATTTGTGTTCATGGTATAACAGGTTGACCAGGTGATCAAGGAGCAGAACATGTTGGATGTGTTTGATTTGGTGGAGGATTATTGCCATCTCTTAATTGAGAGGGTCCACATTTTTGAACAAGAAAAGTTGGTTCTTTTTTTTTTTTTAAATTAAATTTCTTTGCATAAAAAAAGTTAATATATATATATATATATATATATATATATATTGTCTTCTAAATCCATTCTTGGTATATATGTAGAGTGTGCCCTGAAGAGTTGAAAGAAGCTGTGTCAACTCTAATCTATGTGGCCACAAGATGTGGTGATTTTCCGGAGCTTCAACAGATTCGCTCGATTTTCGCCTCACGTTTCGGGAGGGAGTTTGTGGATCGAGCCGCCGAGTTACGCAATAACTGTGGGGTGAATCCGAAGGTAAATGTTTTGTGTATCTGTAATTAGAAAGCTTTTTTTTTTACCAATCTATATATAACTTATGTGTTTGGCATTTGGACATGTTATTTTTTTTTTGTCTACTAACTATTTTGTATTTCAGATCATACAAAAGTTGTCGACTAGGATGCCGAGCTCGGAGAGCAAAATGAAGATGCTCAAAGAGATTGCTTCAGAAAACAACATTGAACTACAGATCATCGAGGAGGCTTCAGTTGAAATCAAGATGGTATGCAAAAACTTTTATCAGCAATTAATTATTTTTTTTTGGTTCGAAGTTGTTTTCTTTGTTGCATCGCGTGTTAACTTGTATTTGTATGTTCATATTTCGTGTTTATACGAGATTCTTGAAAATATCTCGAATGGTATTTATAGATATCGATCTTTATGGTATATATATTTGCGATTCGGCCAAACTTCGATCACCAAGGGGGCGAATGGATATGAATCCAAACGACCGAGACCTAATTTGGAGAGCTGATGAAGTGAATCATTTTGAATGCAGTAGATTGAGTCGATGATTTTGAACGTGAAATTAAATAATATTTAAAAAGTATTGATTAAAGTGGATGTGATGTAAAAGCAGGAGAAGGACTATTGAAAGTGATATGTCATGTTTGTACACGTTAAAATTTGAATGGTTCTTACATTCTTGATTGCTAAATTGTGGCTTATGAATCCTAGGAACATAAGGAGATACACGAGCCGAGCCATCCTGGCCCACAGGAAGACAATACCGAAGAGCCATCAAAACCTGAAGATGACTTAGAATTACTTTCTCGGAGGAGGAAATACCGGGACGTGGCCGACGCAGCACAAGCCGCCTTCGAGTCGGCTGCGTACGCGGCAGCCGCTGCCCGAGCTGCGGTTGAGCTATCGCGTTCGGGTTCGTCGGATCCCGGCGGGCCCCACACACCCACGACATCGGCTCGGAGGAAGTTCTATTCATCGGACGACGAGGAGGAGATGATTGATGAGAAAAAGGAATCCGATGAAGTCCGTAAGGAGATTGTCGTTGCAAGTGAAGCTAAAGGATTGAATTATGATTCGGGCTCCGATTCATTTGATGGAAATGTGAAGAAGGGAGATGGAGAGGTTATTAAGCACCGGGATAATGTCGTTTTTGACGAAGGAAGTGATGATGGAGTTGGCGAACGAGGGAATAATGCAAAGTCTTCCATTGAGACGAGAGAAAACACGGAGCTTTCGAGCATCGATAGGGTGCCGTTTTCGGTGAGGACAAAGAGGACACATTGATTATGAGTCGCAAGCATACATTTGTTTGTGATTGTGTTTGTGTCCTATGAGTTGGTTGCATTATGATTTCAAGTTATGTGGTCAGCTGATTTTTGGGGATTCTTTTTGTTTACATTTTATGTTTCATGTTTCTTGTAAATTCATGCTGAGATTTGTGATGGTTTTGTATTCTGTAGGCTTGAACTTTCAGAGTGAAATTTAGGTTGTGTTTGGTAATCCTGCAGAAAAAGTTAATTGATAGATCATATGTTAATTCAAACTCATAAACGATAGCTTATGACTAATGACTGAAAAAATAGTTAATTTGATAAAAGTGTTCGACAAAATAAGCTCGAGCCTATTTTATTCTACGAAACCAAGTTTAATCCAAACCTCAAGAGCCCAAATCCAACATTACAACATAACAAGAAAATGTCACATGTTTTTTACTAGGTTACAAATGATTTATGACAAGTTGCCACCACTTTGTTGCCAGAGGTTGATAATATCAGTGGCCTGATTAAGAAGTATGATCATCTTCTTCTGGGATATCCAGGGCTTGCTCTCCAGTGCAGTCTTAAGCTCCTCCCATGCATCTTTTCTGGGCCAGAAGAAGTACGGGCTCATGGGGACCGTGCCGTAGCCCGGCATTAACTGGTCCAGCCCGAGCCCGATGTTCTTGTCCATCCATATGAACTTGAGCACTATCCTTGGTTTTGGAAATGATTTCACCTCTTCTTCTTCTTCTTCTTCCACCTGAAAAATTGAAGGTTAAAAGTGCAACTGGTTGAGCTTAAAAGTCTTTTAGCTTGTTTAAGATTTTCCCAAAATAATAATAATAATAATAATAATTATTATTATTTCATTGTTGTCACTTCATAATGTTACTAAACTATCAACAGCCAAGTGTTATATAAGGTTTTGGATTTTATATCATAATTTTTTATTTTTTTTCGAACTTTTTTTTTTTTTTTTTGATAGATATGCATAATTTCAAATTGAAATGACGTAATCTAAAAATATAACATGAATAAAAGTATATATTTTTGTTAAAAATCTATGAAATGTACCATTACCAAATGTTAGAAAAGCTTGCACAAGTATATGTTCGCCCGGAAAAAATAGAATATACTATAGTAAACTACGAGACTAACGGTTAGACTACACAAATTTGTGTTCCCCAAAAGAGTTAGAAAATGGCATTGTAATAAGGGAAGATGTTACAGTTTCGTTACGAAACCATTCATTGGGGGTTTGGAAACGTTAAATTAAATATCTCTGACGGTTACATCATAATCTAACAGTTAGTGAACGGGTATTTTCCATGTATATATCATTAAAAAAAATATAAATTGCAAATTATCAAAATTAAAAAAAAAAAAAAAAAATCGGTCTGACCAAACCTGAGGTTCCTCGGCGGCAAGTTCAGTGTCGGAATTTTCGAAAGTTATTGCCGGTGGAGCTAATTCCGCGGCGGCCGACACAGACTGCGTTTTCCGGATTCTTCTAATGGCGTGTTTGGATTTGAGGTCGGGATTGGATAATGCACGCAGATCAAAAGGCTTTTGTTTCGGAAAAGCTAAGGATTTGGAGTTCGAACAACAGATTTGCTTGGAAAAGGGGTATGGCGAGGTGGTCTTGATGCTTGGTTGAACTGACATGGCTAACATCTTCTCTTTCTTCTGTGTGTTTGATTGTGTGTGAGTGAGGGGAAAAAAGGATATATGGCGCTGTACCAAGTGTTGTTCGTGGATAATGTAGATGATTGGGGGGAGTAAATGGGCAGTGGCCCATGGGTCGAAGCCCGAGGGAAATCAATGGGCTTTTGAGTTTGTACTGCCAAAATATCTTTATCAATTTTAAAATATTGTAAATATGTGGAATTAACCACATTATCATCTTCATTATTGTATTAGTACTTACATTGAATTGTGTGCCATCATATGATTAAAGGCCTTGGCATTTGCCTATAAAAGGGCCATAAGGAAGTGTAATATTGATACCGAAAAGTGAAAGAAAGCAGATTATAATTTGTTCCGATTTTTATACATTGTGTTCTTTATATTCCCCGTATTTTATAACATGTTATCAGCACGAAGCTCTACCCGGTCAAGAAAGGTATGATATATATACATATTACTATTATTCTTGACAAGTTAGACTCTGCCACAGTCAAGGATATATATACATATTACTATTATTTTTGACAAGTTAGGCTCTGCCACAGTCAAAAATATATATATATATTACCATTATTCTTGACAAGTTAGGCTCTGCCACAGTCGAGATATGTATACTAAATATGATATTATATACACATTACCATTATTATTGGCAAATTAGACTATGCCATAGCCAATAATATGTGGTGATATGATATTATTAAATTTGCTTGTGAATTATTTTTCAAGTTGTAATAAATGTTATTATTTAGACTTAACACCCACAAAAATGGTTTACCCAGTAATGTGACGTGAAATTTATAACTGTTTATTCTTGTACCCACCATAAAATTTATCAAATAATGTGGAGCATTTTTTTTATACTTGTTTTGTTATATTCGCGAAAATATTTATCAAATAATTCGGAAAAAATCATTAAGGTAATATACATGATTAATTAGAATTTTATGATCATAAATGATTAATTAGCAAATATTATATCATTAAATTTGTTTCCAACGGCTAGTTAACGGCTATATTGTAACGGCTATTTACCAATATCTATATATATCACTACAATTTATTTT